TCGTGAGACGTATACATCTTGGCGTAGACATTCACGGCCTCAGCCACCTTCCCCACGACTTGCTCGAAGTTATTCAGCCAACTCCCTATTTACTTTTCTAGTCTGGCCATCTTCTCGGCTAGAGCTTTATTCTCGGCCGCGAGCTCTTCTTCCTTGGTCTGCTGCACGTCTCGGTCGCGTCGAACGTTCAGCCACTCCCTCAGGTCTCCTCCGCAGATGGACGAAGATTCTACCAGGACCGCATTCCTCCGGTTCACGTTCTCCTGCAGTCGAGGCGGTACCTCTCGGTCATTTGTTGTCTGGGCTGCAACCCTCTCCTGGGCTCTCCTCCTGGCAGCTAGTTGCCTGCTCCCCACAGATCTATTCGACTTGGCTGGACGGGGGTTGTTGGCCCCACTGTCACCGACCCCCTCGGTGTCACCACGTCGGTTGCCAATTACTTAGTTCCCGACGACGGCGTTCACCGGGTTCATCGGCGGGGCATCGAATCTGGCCTTTATTCCCGTCCGACGAGGGCTGTGGCCATCCTTTCTACAGCCACGGCCAGTGTTTCGACCTGCCTTTGGAGCTGGTCAATGCGGTCTGGGGGGTTTCCAGCGGCTTATGGTTGTGCCCTGCGGTTGGGCTGTAGTCCCGCTGGTTCCTGACTGCCGTTGGGCGGATTCGTCGGATTCCTTCCTCCGAGGGCAGGTTTCTGGCGTTCTTGGCTTTTCTGAGTTGCCATCATGCTGTGGGTCTTTCTCGGAGCCATATTCATTGCTTACTGCTCGATTGATTTCTTGGGTTTAGGCCCTCCTTCTAGCGCCAATTGTTGACAGTAGTTTCCTCGACGCCAACGACCGATTCTCGACAGAGAAGCCTCGACGCTTGTCGTTCAAATGAATGATTGATCCCTCGACTATTGTGTAACAAATCCTAACAAGAATAAGAAAATTCACCATTTGCAATAGTATTTCCAGAAAGATGGAAAGGAAGACCTGTCCTTTTGTCGTGGGATCTTTATCCAACAATCCTTCCCTTGTCCGCTAATTCGTTATTAACTCTTCTATCTATATCCAACAACGAATCAGAACAAAATCAAATACCAGTAGAAACTTTAGGCAATCCACCCTAAAGGGGAAAAAAAGACACCTCAGGTAATCTTTTCTTTTCTTTTTTTATTTTTATTTTTATTTTTATTTTGATAGATAGAAAGGCAGTAAGGAACAGGGCTAAAAAAAAGAAACAAAGAAGGCTGCCCACAAGCGCCGAAGAAACAAGAGCCCAACAAAAGCAGATCTTAACTCCTAAACAAGCCCAACAAAAGCTTAACACCAAAATAAAGATTTCATCAAATGATAGAACTCATAATAGGGAAGAAATGTAGCAATTAGGAATCATATTTTTGGCTCGAAAACAATAATTATGGAAGAAAGGTCATATTTTATTTTTAAAGGTTTTTTTTTTATTAATTGAATTCGTAAGTTTACAATTAGAAAGATTTTCCTTCGTAACAATTTTATCTAAGAAAGCAGAATTTTATTTTGACTTAATTTTTTGATTAAATATAAGGTAGTTTCAATTTTTATATTAAAATTTTGAAACTACTCATTTTTTTCAATTTTATTTATAGGTTTTTGTTATCATTTGTAATAATATATGAGTCGCTTGGTCGATGAGTTTGAATTAGTTGAGTTTGAACCTTTTTGGGTGTGAATTAGGAAGGTTTGAAAAGTGTGTAAACCTTTGGATAAATTGAAGTCCAGCTTATTTCACTGATTCGAGTCTTGCTACAGTAAAAAACTCTCAGAAATAATCACATCTAATTTTTTTACTACAGTAAAAAACTCTCACATAAAGTCACATATCAACTGAAATTAAAAACTTGAATCAGCGAACTAAACAGACTCTGAGTTTAACAACAACCCCCACACCCGTTCATTCTCATTCTCAAGCACGAGCCTAGGACCAACACCTCTAGGACTAAGAGGACCTAAACTATCTAACTCGCAACATCATGGCCTCCACCAACTCTCGAGGACGGACCGACCATCCATTAAGGCAAACATCATTCGTCGTCTTCCAAATGGTCTCTAAAATCACTACTAATCATGAAAAAAAAAAAAAAACTCAGCCTAGAGCCTCCCCCAAAGCCCAAATTTCTTGAGAAATCAAGAATCTCCAAAGTGGAATTAATCTGAAAATTCTCCCATCTGAAACCACCTAGGCAAGCAAACCAAATAACTCTAGCAAAAGAGCAAGACAATTAAAGAGATGGAGATGGAGATAATCCCCACTAGACGTACCGCAAAACGAGCAACAAAACTAATACTTAATTAGCTGATTTATACGTAGAAAAATGTTGCAACTGGATCAATCAGCCTATTCTACTTCGCCTTGTGTCATCCGATTTGAGGGAATTCATTAGATCGTGAAGTTGCTTCACACCTAGCGTTTGATCTTTCGCTAGGAGCGAAGTTGTCCTTAAAAAGAATGGTTGGAACCGAGCCTCTGGTCAGACCTATAAGACTACTCGAATGGGGGCTTTTCATTAAGGGAAGGGGGTGTCACAAATAAAGTGAAAACCAATTAAAAATAAAATGCATTAGACAATGCAGGTGGTGTTTTAAATATAGTTTACTTCGCAAACAATGTCATTGCGCAAACTTTAATATTGCCGCTGTAATAGTTTTCTTTTCCTTAAAACAAAATGTCATCTGTTTTGATTGTTAGTTTGAATGTGTTACCAATGTTTAACCTCTATCACTCGATTTGCAATTGGAAATAGATCATTATTGGGGGGGAAAGA